TGATAGCCCGGGAGGGTCCAGATGTCCATCGACAGTCGGGCATTTTGCACTGGGCTTGGAAAAGGGGACAATCTACGAAACTATCACTTTCGACTGCGCCTTTACCAACTCGTTTTCCTGCCATCACCCGTTGAAAGTAACAACCGTCAGGCATATGGTCTATGCGAGATGCACGGGGTAGACTTGGATGGCATTGCCCTGAGATGGGGTATGGTGACGTCCATGCTAAATGCATTGTTTCAACTCCAACCTAATGGGACGGGAGAGTATCAAGGGAATTGTTGGTCTACAGCCCTCTTTCCCTCTGAGCTGCTCAGCCGGCTGTTTGAATTCAACAAGGCATGCTGTTCCTCCAGTACAGGGGTAGTTAGCGAGCGAAAATTCCACATTTACCTATTCAAGGCAACACGGCAATCAACGGGCAAGGGAGCTGGGATAAGCATTTCTAAATTGAGTGACTTGAAAATACCCCTGAATTTTTGCTGTTCAACTGCGTGCTCCCCAGTGCTCACCACTCAGTTCAGTGTTGTCGCGTTGCGTTGTGGTGAGTTGCTTACATAGCAGCAACTCGATGTTGCTAGTAGGATCCTAGCACAAGACGTAAAAAGGCAGCAAACTTACAACATCCAAGATCGTTCCGAATCTGAGGGACTGAGCAGAAGGTAAGGAATGCATTCGAGCTTCACGCAGCGTCCGCGCACCCCTATCATCAGCATCATTATCAGCATCATCATCAGCAACATCATCCTCCTCCTTAACCCTCACCAGTGGCTCCCCCAAGCAAGCATCCCAGGCCCCGGACAGAATGGGGGCGCCGCCAACGAACCCCACCCACCCCCCCTCTATCCTGTAGAGTAGAGCCGTTAAATTCTCAGCCACCAAAGTAAGGATCTACAGCTTTCCCCAAAAGAAACCCGCGTCGGTGACGCTAGCCCAACCACGACAGGCAGCCCTTGGTCAATCCCGCAAACTTATATTTCTCCCCACTCCCACCCAAAATGACCACTGTTATGGGCATTTCAAGAAGCGGCGTTAATTTGGAGAACAAGATGAAGAAGAAAACCTGCATATTGTCCGGGGAGGAAAGAAAAGAATAGCAACTTAGAGGCTGGTTTTCTTTTTTTTTTTTTTTTATCTTTTCTTTTTTTTTTTTTTCCGTGCGTTTGAATTGAGATCTTGCATTCACTGTAGTATGAAAGAAGAAAATCTGATCAAGTTGTACCGGGTAAAATTACATGGTCTATTTTTTTTTTTAGGAAGCTGAAATAATGTTTTTCAAATTACCACATCACGTAATTTAAATGTGTTATTATTTACATACCGATACGAGGGCTAAATAGTGCCGAGCTTGGAGAGCAAACTTGTGGAAACCCGCGCTCGGAGCTCGTTTGGGAACAACTCCTCCACCGGCCCAAGAATTTGGCTCGTGTGGGTTGTGTTGTATATTGGCTATACTGGCTGGTACCTGGATGCTCCTTGATCCCATATTTTTGACTTCGGCCAGGTCAACAACACGCAATATTCCTCTCCCATCTGCCATTGAGGAGTGCAGGAGAGCTCCATTATTCTTCTCCTGCTCCCATAGATTGGAGGCCATCCTAACTCCTCTACAGAGTACTAGCACTCCGTAATGACCGAGGACATACTCCGTACTTCCTGCCACCATGACAATGTGTGGATGGCTATGGATAATTTTCCAATTTTTCGTATCTTCCTGCTTACTGCAGAGGAGGGCTCCACTCCATCTGATACTCTCTTTCTTTCGATTAACCCAGTTGAGATCTGCCCCGAGTTACTGTACAGAATACAAATGACATACGGAGTACACCCGGTCTTACATATACGGCCGGCGATACATACCGCCCTATCTGCCAAGGTGGGTGTGCTGAATACGCTAGGTACTTAAACTATCTTTTCGGCGGCGTTGTGCCGTGTACCTTGTAACTATCCTGCACAGTACGACCTCTTCCTTGTGCTCCTCTCGTGGAGTCGTGGACGCTGGTTTTTCTTCTTAACTGCGCCGATCCCCTTTCCCCAGACCTCTGATCTGACCTCGTTTTCATCCTTTTGCTCCGCGCGCTGTACATCAGGAACCACTCGAACTGTCCCCCCATCTGGTCCTACATAGCCAGACTCTCCTGAGCCGGCTTCCTACATACATCCATACATCCATACAGTACACACTGGCCTTGTCGAGTCTTGCATTTCTTCTTGCAGTCCAGTATAATATATTGATACACACACATACCAACACTCATGAGCTAGATCTCTACATAGTACCGAGTGTTTAACTGGGCCAAAGCCTGTGAGGAGAGGAGAGCAACAAGCAGAAAAAGAAACCAAGAAAAAAGAAGTTCGACCGATCAATTGATCGGCCCTCTGGCATCCCTTCTATTTTCTTGTCGTTCAAACCCGCCGATTTTCTGAATCTCGAACCCTTGTGATTTTGGCAACTGTCACCACCACCAACCTTCCCTATGACTATGGTCATCGAAAACCGAAACCGCCAGTATGGCGGTGGGATGGGCTACGACAATGCGTTTCACAGTCAGGTTCATCCCAGCACGCCCCAATTCAATGAACCTTGGGCAGCGCATTCATCCCCTCATCCTCCGCAGCCGATCTATCCTACATCTATGCCCGCAAGCTCTGTCGCACTGAATCACCCTGTAAAGCGCGCGGAAGTTTCTCGACCTACGGCTATCTCCATGCCATATTCAGCTGTGCCGGTGCCCGCGCCATCAATTTCCCCAAGCAGTAATTACAACCCTGCTTCTACTTACCCTGGTTCGGAACAGATCATTGTTCTGCCTCCAGAGATTCCACGGACTACCTTTGATCAAGCCCAAGGCTATACTTCGGTATCGCCAATAACTTCATTCACTCCCGCTAACTATCCGCCCATGGACTATGCGCAATCACTGCAGCACCAGCACCAACACCAGCACCAGCAACAACAGCAACACCATCACCAACACTCAAATTCAAGAAATATGCCTCAAGGGTGAGTCTAATTCTTCTCCCCCTTTCTTTTTAGTGATTGTCCTATAGATTCTGGGTTCTTTTAATAGAAGAAAAGAAGATAGATAATGGGGGATATCAAGCGCAATTTTACTAACGTGATATTCAGCAACGAGCCTCCGTCGCAAGCTGTTCCATCGCAACCACAACCGGCATCCACATATGGAGATGCCTTAGATGCTAGCCGTGGAATGGTTGCCCTGAGTCAAGATCTCGCAACTCCGCGAAATATGTATGGCTCTCAGAGTGCTAGAGGACCTAGAGAGGCCTACGGATTCCCCGCGACACATTCTTCAGCCTCGTCAATTTCGTCTGCGGGCAATTATCCATATTACAGTGCGTCAGTTGTCTCTGTCGATTCTTCCGTCACCGACTACAGCTCCACAACTTCAGAATCTTATGATGGTATGCCATCGCGAACGCTCCCGCGACCGTCCAACCTGATCCACGGTTCCATGTCTGGGCCTCAGTCAATGATGAGCCAGTTCAGCTCAAAAGTCCCGTCAAACACTCAGAAGAAGCACAAGTGTAAAGTCTGCGATAAAAGATTCACCCGCCCTTCCTCCTTGCAGACTCACATGTACAGTCACACGGGTGAAAAACGTGAGTCCAACCAGATCTACTCTATGTATCCAGGCAAACGTTGCAAGTATGCCGTGGGAAAATAAATAAATCAACAAATCAAGTACTGACATCGCCACTTTTCTGTCCAACAGCATTCCCGTGTGAATTCCCAGGTTGTGGGCGTCACTTCTCTGTGGTGTCGAATCTCCGTCGACACAACAAAGTCCACAAGGGCGAAAAGGAGTCAGGCTCTCCTGAGCAGCAAGAAGAGTGAAATCTTTCCTCACGACAAATGCCAAGTCAACCCCTGTCATATGGGTTTACTCTGCGCATTCGTCCTATTCCATCTTAAAAACTTTCATCGACTTTCTTAATGACATCTTTACTTGGTCCTTGCTGCGGCAAGGCCACCACCCCAAACATGCTTGCCCGGGGGAGGGGGGGGAATCGACACCAAGTTGGGCCTTTAATCCATAATTTTATTCTAATTTTCTTTATTTTTAGTTTGTTTACCCAACTACGCCTCCCACTCGACAATTATCGTGGCTTCCACATTGCCATATGATAATTTTGCAGGGAAACTTTTCCACTTTTCCGTTTTTCTACCCCAAATCGTATAATGCCTTGTATTATAATGTTTTTTTTTTTTTTTTTTTTTTTTTTTTTTGAAAAAAATTATCCCCTTTTTCTTTTCTCACCCAGCACGAGTAGTTGTGGATTCGAAGTTGTTTCACGGCTGGAAAATTCAAAAGATACCCTCCCCAGTGAGGAAAAATTGTTTTGTTCGGATGGTATAGGTGGAATAGGTTGGGGGGATTTTTCACCCGATTGTACAGGGGAGCTCCTGCTTTTTCCTTCATCCATTTTCCTTTTCCTGTTTCATTTTTTTTGACGGTAGAGGCGCTCACTTTATTTTTTCATCAACATCCGGGGGACTGTACGGCTTCATAAGTTTTTCTTCCTTTTTTCCTATTTTCCCCTTCTTATCACACTTTATATATACCCTCGCTAGACTAGGGGCCGGTCGCTTCTCTCATGCATTTGCTTTTTTTCACCCTGTTGCGTCATTTGTTTTGTACTTCGTTTGATTTCACTGCGTTTTGGCACGTGTGTCTGGCTTCGTTCCAAGGTTATTTCCCCCATCGTTCTCATTGATACCACGGTGATGATTAGTTGCTATATATCCCTTCTTATCATTGTTGCAGTTCTTGGGTTTATTTTTATTTATTTTTATTTTTTTATTTTTTATTTTTTTTTTATCTTCTTTTGATGTTGATCATTTTGTCGATCTTTTTATCATAATTTGGGACATTCCTATTATATTCCATCGCCCCTGGTTCTGGCCTCACTTTCTTTTTCTTTTACTCCTAGTATGTTGTTCACTTTTAACCTTCCTGACGCCCTTCGTTATTTTCCATGTTTTAATTACCACCCTGGTCCTGACCAGGATGTTTGCTCTCGTCCCTTGCAGCGGGAAGGCTGCCGGGCGTCATTCATCACTCGAACACGGTGCCACTTACTCGATGGCACAGAGATGACCTAGGGGTTAAACGAGGGGCTTCTCCTTCTAGTTGCCTTTTGCATTTGACGTCATTTTTATATCAAACATTTTTACTATTTGCTTCTCTGTTTGCCTCGTTGCGATATTCCCCATACGGCACATGTTGATTGATTATTGCATTGTTTCCCTTAATATATCCCTCGCGGCTTAATTTTTCTCGAATATTTTCTACAACTTTTCTTTCGCTCGTTGATACATACATATATATCTATACCTATTTAAATTTTAATTGTCTAATTTTTATTGGTGGATATTGTTATCTCATGATATCATATATGCTTTCCCACCCCCTGCCTCCTTTGATTCTACTGTCCTCTCTCCGTCTCTTGACTGATACCTGTACTCGAGTTTCATAAATGGATTTATGTTATTTTTCCCCACAGGACTTCCAAGAACATTGGCTTTATTTAATAATAACATAATCATACGAAGTCTTATTCTTAATTGTTCCATGGTTATAGTGTTATACAAAACGCATTGTTCGGAAACTTTTTCGGCCCGCTAGAGTTACCTGACCAGAGGAAAGTTTACAGAAATTCCACCATCACTCGAATCATCTATACTGGTCGCAATCTTCCAGCGCCCAAAAGAGAGAGGAAAGCAATCATTAACGCTAAGCAATACTGTGGCGAGTGTGCCTGTTTGCATACCCTATCGATACGTATCTTGATTACGAGAAGAACTGTGCACACGGACAATACAACCATTTATACATACTACATCCATCAACCTTCATGGCTAAGACATATTTAAATCAATACGTTTCCAGCCCATGAATGTGGCTTAGTTCAATATTGATACACGGGATAAATGTGTTGCTTCCCCTTTTTCCCCCTCCCCGGCATCTCTCCCTAACCATGTTTGCGTCACAGAACAGGAGCCGGCTTACCCTACGAGGGCTGAGAGAGGGTGCATGGTCAATTATTTTCCGCCCTTCATCAGGAATAATAAACATGATCGAGGAGCAAGCTGTCATAGCGCTAAGAGGGCCAAAGCTGGATTCAAGGAACGCACTCGGCAAGCTTGTGCTGGCGAACATTCGTATGCCACCCATCTGCGAAAGGCCGAGATCCTATCAGGACGGGATGTGGGAGGTTACAAATTAGCTTCAATGGCCTTTGATCCTTGATTATTTCCCGTATATGCTCCTCATTCCTGCAAGCTGGGGGAGTTTTGGGCCAGTGCTGCGACACCACAAATCGACAGTATGCCTGCCAAATGGATTATCGTTTGGATTGCATGAACTCAATATCCAATCTTGGTGTGCTACTGACGCCAGTGGTTTGTTTGCTTGGAGGTAGATATTCTCAAGTGTTGAATAATACATTTCTAAACGCTCACGATAGATATCAAATTAAAATTCGAATGTGAGGCTAATCATTTCATAGAGCCTGGGGATCGCTCCAGGAAATATGTCTCGCATCTCGGAATCGGGGTCTCTGTCTTTGGCATAATTGCTTCAGAGGAATCAGCCTGATCAGACCCGTCCCTTCCTCTACTTTTCCCACTTGGTTTGTCGGGCAATATTATTCCGTCACTCGATATTGCGGATCACAAAAGATGAAGATGAACTCTGGATTTCCAAACTCCTCATCCCGGCAACTCCAACCGTTATCAACTATATAGTTTTTTCCAACAAGTTCGCACTTGGGATTCTTCGCACAACACCCGTGGAAGAGGGGCTCGAATGGCTTGCAGCGTTCATGAATCTGTACCCTTTTATTCTAATTTGACATTTATGAGTTTCTTGGTGAGCACTCTTTTCCGTAGACTATCGACGAAGGATAACAGATACCTATTAATTAGTACTTCTCGAGTGGCACTATTACATCAACATTAAGACGCATCAAATGTTTATCGCAGAAACTTATCATAAACAACTAGAAGGAATTAAGGACGAACTATAAATTGCGGCATTTGGTATCACGAGAAGTGTTACACGACTACTCTTGCATTGTGTGGAGCGACATTCTTCTCATCAGCGCACACGTTTGGCTTCCCTGCTTCTACAATTGATTTCATCGTGATGGATGGTGCTATTTTACATTCAATAGACTTGCGCCAACTATACGATGAACTTTTAAAGTGTCGCATACACTGCTTTACCACTAGGTTTAAATGCATTCGACCATAAACAGCATTTATGGTAATACGCGGAAGCCGTGCAGTTGTATCGAAACCGGTATGATAGTACAGAATTCGCCGCCCTCATTCAGGAAGCCCTTCGATTTTCGGAAAGGCAAAACCTCCTGATATCCTTTCAGCCCAACGAAACAACCAATGTCATGTCAAGCCCGAACGACAACAGCGATCACGGCAAACAGGACACAATAAGTAAAGACATCTAAAGGACAGGACCTATATCTTGGATACGCACAAGGAGGTGGTCTGCAACAGCGCTTCTACCCCTGGCTTTCGTTGTCAAAAAAACTTCAATTATGCACGGGGAAAATATCCTTGATATACGTATTTACCTGCACTCGTTCGTGAGCTTCACTTGGGAAATGATAGTGTTTAGGCTACTGAGACTGTGAAACATATCGTACCAATTGTAGATATTCGGCTACATTTTTTTCTTTTCATATCGATGTCTTCAAATCAGTAGTACTGTCTCCAGACATCACAGATCGAAAAGGATCTCCTTGAGATGCATCCAATAGTGAGACTATTGTGCCATCTTCCAATGTAAGACTCCAGTTATTGGTTTGAAACTAGAACAGCAAGGCTAATGATTAGCATTTGATCCCTTTTGAAAAAAATGTGTCAAAGGATGGATAAAACATAAAGCACTCTACTTACATAACCATTCCTGCCATCTCTGGTACTCTGGAATCTCATCTTCGCCTTGCCTTTTGTCCCTTTAACCCAAAATGAGATGTCAATTCGCCCATGCAACTGATTCATCTCCCCACTAATCCATGGGATTTTCTGTGCAAAGTATATCTCATCGCCTAGAAGCTCTCTTCCCTTAGGCGACACTCGCAACGCATAGAGGGTGCTATTGACTATGCTGGATGAGGATTTCTGGTAATTGAATATTCCTAGCATGGAGGCGCCAACAACAACGAAGAAAATTGGCAAGGTGCGGAGCCATGTTCGACCTGACTTTATCGAAGGGAGCTCGCGGTCTGCTCGCCGGCTCAGGAGGGGGCCTGAGTGCAGGCGTGATGCGGAGGTGAGCGTTCGGCGGAGGAGGCGGCAGGTAGGAGCAGGATGGAATGTAGCTCGATGGCTGAGGCCTATGGAGTGGGCAGCTTGAAGGATATTCGTGGCTAGTTTTGGTCTTATCATCCTTCCCTGGAAAATGGCTTCCGCCGCTTTATAGGTATTCCAATATCAGGTAAGATCAAATCTTCTCTGTCTCTGTTTTTGTCCCAAGATTTTCCTGTTGTCATGAGTCCAATGGCTGTTGCATGAAGATTTTTGCCAAGACATTTTGATTGCATATGCTCAACTCTGCCAAGATATCATTTACGTAATCCACCATACCACCAACAAGCTCTCACTCAATGTCTGTATAGAGTAAGATTTTTTCATCTATCTTCAATAGTCAGTAATTACATCTCCATCTCGTAAACAATAAGGGTGCTCAACTACATATGAGCGGAAAAAAATAGATGATATGGATTGAATCTACTCTGATAAAAAACAAGGCACTAAAATAGAAGAATCTATCGTATTAGCATCTACGATCAACGCAGGAGAGGTCTGACATCACTCGACAAAACAAACGAACAGACGGCAATGGCAGAAAAGCTGACAAAAAACTTGTTGGGTATGGACTGCGGGGCATTACTGTTATGAAGGGATATTGAAAGAGATATTTTGCGATGGGTAAAGCATAGAGGATCTAGCAAACATCAAGGCGCTACTTTAATAAAGATAGATCTACTAGAGGAGTAGAAGGATAGTAGGTTCTGCGATGCTCAACGAATACGACCAAGTCGGGCGCTATTCATGACGATCTGATCGTCCACATGGTCACTCTGCGGGTTTATCGGTTAGTACACATCTATGAGATATGGGTTCGTGTATAATTCGGGAGGGAAAAGTAATGTACCTTGCCTATGATTCGGCCCAAATCGGCATTCTGCTGCTCAATCTCCCTACCTTGGGCCTGAGCAAGAAGGTTCAACCTGCCAGTAACACCTTCGATCGCAGTAAGATTGGACTCGATCTCATTTTCCATTTCGTCATCTTCACTGTCAGCTTCAAACTGGTATTTGGACCTGTCTGCAAGGTTTGTTTGTTTCTGTGGGCCACCGGCAGCTTTCTTTGATAGGGTTTTGAAGGTCTCATCCATACGTTGCTCTGTCCGGAATGTGGCTTGTCGAGTAGCCTCTCGCTGAAGGCGTTCTTCATGGTGACGATCAATGATGGCCTCGTCACGAGCACGCCGTCGTTGTTCGCCTGTGAATGGATTAGAGACATGCATGGCGAACATGCTTTTGTTTAGCTTTTTTAATTCCCGGGATCTTTCATCTGCAATTTTGTTTTGGTTTGAGGCCAGGTCAAGGTTTTTTTCTGTATTATGAATTCGTTCTCCTTGAGCACCAAGACGAAGGAGGGTGTCACGGCCTGTCGCTTCTGCTTCTAAGGCGGCACGAAGAGCATTGCGGGTAGAAGAAACATCCTGTTGTTTTATCATTCGAATTTCATGTTTCATCGCTTGGATGTCTTCTTCTTCTTCTTCCTCTGCTGTGAGTTGCCTCTCCTGGTAAGTCGGGGCATAAGTGGTATTGGATCCATCAGCACTAGCACCACTGACACCACCTTGTGGGACATCTTGCAGAGCAGGGTTGTAACGTCGTTCTTGTTGCCGTGCCCGTGCATCTCCTAGAAGAGCATCTCTATTATCATCAACGGACGCTGTATCGTTTGGGTCGGCTCTCCCAAGTCCACCATAGCCACCAGGCCCATATCTAGATTGTGGGCCCGGAGTGGAAGTATCACCTCCATACCTGTCTCCTCCATACCCACTTTGGTATCCGGGTCCTCCAGGTGCATAACCACCATTACTCCGACCGTATTTATTATCAAGATTCTCGTAAGGGTTTCTAGGTGCACCATATCCCTGGCTGGCTGGAGGTTTCATGCCAGGACGTCCTTGATTTGAAGGGGGTACATATCCGCCCACTTCAGTCTGTCCACCGCGTCCACGTCCTTGGCTATACGGATCGGCTGACTGCTGAGGCTGCGCATACGGATTTGACGACGGAGTCGGATTTTTATTCTTGGATTTAGACCCAAAAAGAGCTGAGCGGTTGCTATCCTCATCTGCACCCTCACTTTTCTTGCTTCCAAAGCCGAATTTCTTCATAACGTAGACACCAACTGGAACAAAAAACTAAGGGGCTATTATTCTAACAATTTCTTTTTAAATCTTGGGAATATTAATGAGAGGCAAGAGGGCATAATGGGAGAATGGAGGTTGAAGTCTCAGGTTGGGGATGTGGCGTTGTTGCATTAAGTCACGTGATGATAGGAGGGGTGGCTGATTTGAGTTTGTGACTCAATACAAATAGAGCTAGCGTTATATGGCTCCCTTTCATGGCTAGGAGCTCCAACCTCAACCAACAGCAGACAGCGGTGCTTTGTTTACATCAATATCTCTGGTTCTCGCTGCTCTGCACCATGGCTCCTGATCCTGGGTCAGAATCCGAGTATATACGAGAGAAAGCTCGGAGGGATCTGTTGAATCTTCTTGAAGGTGTGAGTAGGGGAACTTTTTAAAGCCCTTTTAAGCCCAGCTACCAAAGTTATGCTGATGTTATGTTCAGGTTCGAGGCAAAAAAAACCTTGTGATAAGCAAGGACCTGGCTGGTCCCGTTGGCTTATTCGTTAAGTTCTCTGTTCTTCAAGAGTACGGAGTAGACCGAGTTTTCCTACTTGAAAATGGGAATGCCGATTCTTCCCAGAAAAACATTGTCTTTCTCGTGCATGCTGAAAAGCCTGCCCAGGTACAATCTACGGCTGGTATGATTATCTTATGTGATATGTTCGTGCCAATTTTTCTTGGCTCTTGCCTTTTCCGCTTCTTATGTGTATATTCACTCTTGTTTGATTTTGTTACTGTTGCATGGGAAAACGTTGCGGGGGCAATAACATGAGGCTTTGGGGAATTTATTCATTCTCACTTCCCATTGCCAGTCTTGTCCCCTATATAAATCAATATCCTAGCACATCCCTTTGGCATTTTCTTTGCTTTTTTCATCTCGTTGATAGCCATCATAATGTGCTAACATACTTGTTAGAACAAATAAAAAAGCTTCAACGAAATGGAACTGTCGAACATGAATTCTCCATATTTTGGGTCCCGCGCCGTACTCTTGTTTGTAATCAGATTTTAGAAGACGAGGGTATTATAGGAGATGTCAATATCACGGAATTTCCTCTTTATTTTCTACCTTTGGAAAGTGATATTCTCTCCTTAGAGTTAGGTGATGCATTCCCGGACCTCTATTTGGTATGAAATACCTTTCTCTATCTTGGGGGTTTTCTTTCAAGCTAACATAGTATAGCACAAGGACCCAGGTCCAGTTTATCTTTCTGCCAAGGCATTAATGAATCTGCAGCTACGTCATGGTTTCTTTCCCCGTATTGTTGGAAAGGGAGACAATGCAAGGAGGCTAGCAGATCAACTACTGCGAATGAGGAAGGAACTGGATGTTGAAGAAACCTCTGGATTGAATGATGGATCCGGGAGAGGGCTCATGGTTAGCTCAACGATAGAGAGTTTGATAGTTATCGATCGAGATGTGGATTTCGCAACTCCCCTACTTACCCAGCTCACATACGAAGGTCTCGTTGATGAATTTTTTGAAATCGCAAATAACCAAACAGAGGTCGACTCCATGGTCATTGGCCCTTCTGCTCTCACGCCCTCGTCTTCTCAAGTAACGTCCTCTGGCACATCATCAGCCGCTGCGAAACAGGGCTTAAAACGAAAAATACAACTTGACTCGTCCGATCAATTATTCGGTCAGCTTCGTAATGCAAACTTTGCTATCGTCGGAGGTCTTTTGAATAAAATAGCCCGCCGGCTTGAGAGCGACTATGAAAGTCGTCATGTAGCCAAGTCAACCACTGAACTGAGAGAATTTGTCAACAAATTACCCGCCTACCAAGCAGAACACACTAGCCTTAAAGTCCACACGAACATGGCAGAAGAAATCATGCGTCAAACCCTTTCTGACATTTTCAGAAAGGCGCTCGAAGTTCAGCAAAACATAGCAGCGGGCTCGGACCCAACATATCAGCATCACATCATCGAAGAACTAATTGCACGCGATGTTCCTCTAAATACTGTTCTCCGATTGTTATGCCTTGAGTCCTGCATGAATGGCGGTCTTCGACCTAGGGATTTAGAAAACTTCAGAAAGCAGATATTGCAAGCATATGGATACCAGCATCTCCTAACATTCCATGCCCTTGAGAAGATGGAGTTGCTTCAGGCACGATCGTCTGCAACGGCTATGCTTCTCCCGACTGGAGGTGGCCCGGCGGGTTTGAAATCCAACTATAACCACCTTCGCAAGAGTCTGAGACTCATTGTCGATGAAGTGAACGAGCAGGATCCGGATGATGTCGCGTACGTCTACAGTGGCTATGCGCCGCTCAGCGTACGCCTTGTACAGTGCGTCTTGCAGAAACCATATATTATATCCCTCACGAAAGGCCTCCCCGCATCCGCTGCAGGAGCTTCTGCAAACGTTTCATCCCCTGGCTGGTTAGGATTCGAAGAAATCGTGAAAAGTGCACGAGGTTCCACGCTGAACATCGTCCAAAAGGGTGATGAGAAGGCTGTGAGGGCGAGGCAAACACTCTCGGGGACAGGAGGCATAAAGACGGTTTTTGTGTTTTTCCTTGGCGGGATTACGTTTACTGAGATTGCTGCGCTGAGATTTATTGCAAGCAAAGAATCGGCGCGAAGACGGATTATAATTTGTACAACGGGAATTATCAGCGGGAATCGGATGTTGAAGGTGGCGATTGAAACGAAGGGATTTACTAAGTCATCGACATAGAATTATACCACTAGCTGGCGTGACTTTAACCTTTTTCCGTTTCAGCCTATTTAAATACAGTATAATGAAGACTATTGAACCGCGTTCGCATTTTTGGTTCAGAAAACTAGTCGGTACAAGTCGTGCGGGTAGCATTTATTGGCCCACCAATTTCAGAGAAGGGTGGAGTGCGTTGAGAGACTCTTTGACCGATCAGGTACCACCTTGAGAAGCCCTCTTTTGAACCCTGTAATTCCGGAAAGTATATGCATAAATACATGTACTGGAAATACTGGAAACCTGTGCAAAATACAGTGAATATATTAATATCCAAACCCAAGATTCGTTCCCAATAATCGGCCTTGGTATCGCTCTATAACCTCTCCAAGTTTGACCATTATACCAGCACAGAGCATCCTCACTTCCTCCTCTTCTTTCGACGAGCGCTCAAATATGGCATCAGCCCATTCACGCATTTCCATCACCTGCGTTACAAATTCAGTAACAAGTCTCTCCTCACCGACATTGCCAGATGATATATTTAAATCTACGACCGCGAGGAACAGAACGAGAATTGCGCGGAGCACTGTAGGCTCGGTGGCGACTGGTAGGTTGTGTAGAGTTATAAGTAGCGCAAGAGCTTCGTGCGTAAGCGCGGCTAGATTGGGAGAGTTTGGGCCCAGAGTTGAGAGAATGAGGAAAACAGTTTGGACAAAGAGCTGGAGGAGTTGCGGGTTGTGAACGTTACTGGACCTGAAACGATAAGCAATTAGACACCCGGGGATTCTAATGAGAGGAGGATGAGGATTATGTCTATGTCGGGGAATTAGCAATGAATTCTGACTTACGAGGTCAAGTAAGTGGAGACTCCAAAAGCATTAGTAAGGGGAAAAAAGAAGCCATCGGAAAGAATTCTGTGAAGGTCTTTAGGAATCGCTTTCTGCCGTCTCTGCTGCTCTCTCTGCTGCTTCCTTTTCTCCACTTCCATACGGGATGAGAATGTTCGGACCTTGAGAGCATTGGGTCCGGTCAACGACTCCGCAGCATGGAGCGCTAAAGGCTTTAAGGTTGCTTGCGAAAGCTTTTTTGATATAGCGTCGATAGGGCTGTTCATGTCACCGTAGGTATTTGCTAGACTGGAAGGTAGACGCTTTGACGGGAACGAAGAGTTCGCAGCGGGAGGGAGGCTCATAGCATCTGAGTCTTCTTTCCCAAACCCCGCCAGTTCGCGGGAACTCAAACCAAGCGCGACAAGTATCGTTGATTGCTGACTTTGAGACAAGTCGGCGTTGAAAAGCGTATGCACGAACCACCGACCCATAGTAAGTGGGTAGGCAACGAGTAATGCAATTTGGCTCTGTAACTTGTACTCCTGAAACTTTGGCAGATTATATTTATCTTGTAGACCCGCAAGAGTAAATGCCAGCGCCTCAGAGTTCTCTGCAACTTCGGTGCCAAATGACGCTTTGCGACGTATTAACGTTGGTGCAGTTGATATTCCCAAGTTATATCGTTCTGCATTACCTGTATCCTGCAAGCAAGCTAATAAGTCCCGTATATATCTATATAATACATCAGCATCCAATGGTTAAAAATGAAGGCAAAGCTATGAAAGTTGGAATACATACACTGGAGAGTTGGGTTTTGACCGGTTGATTAGTGTTGGATCCTCTTCGGAATCCGAAGCGTCCGTATCTGGCTTTTCGTAAGATAAGAAGTCGCCATCTGACTCCTCAGACACTTCTTCAACAGAAAGAACTTTCGATGTCTCCTGACTTGATTTTGGCTGATCAACTTGTGGAGCCTTCCGCCCTTGATGTTTTGATTTCTTTGGAGCATATGGAGAGATTTTATGCTTCAAGTCGCTGATAGAACCGACTTCATCTTTTACATTTGTCAAGTTCATATACCACAGTGCTTCTTCGCTCTCCATTTGCTCAAGGTCGAATTTCATTGCCTTATCTGCGGGATCAACTAGCTTTGATAATGAAATGCCGACTATCATTCTCAAGGTAGCGAGTCCGAGGTGAAGAGGCCGCCAGTCGATTGGATATCGCTGTTAGGTAAGTTCCCGACTGCGTGATAGAGCGGAGTTGATGTGGACATAGTCGATGGGCGTATCCGGCGGTCAAAAGGATAATCTGGGTATTCGCTGCCATGGTGTCAACATTTGGAGACAAAAGTGCACTCGTTTTCGAGGATAAAATACTCTACCTTCCTGTCCACGTGTTGGTGTGTGCTTTATATATAGTTGATCGCCAAATATATCTAGAGCCCTTCTCAGTATCTCCAGTATCGGTTCTAATATTTTGAGTTAGCGTGGATAATGTAGAGAGATAATATCTGTCCTGAGAGCCCACCTTGCTGGTTCCCAAACGATGCCAAAAGTGCTCGGCGAAAATCAATGCCCTTTATATTTATTTCGGATCCTGTTACGAGCCATTCGCTCAACTGAGATTTCAGAAAGCCGCGGTCACGAACTATTGTCGCTACAACAGCTGAGACTCCGCTGACAGCCTTGGATTTGTTCAGTGGACTCTGCAACACACTAGGAGAAGGAGCAAGAAATCTTATTTCCAAATCATGAAGTAGAGATTTGAATAATAACAGTTGATCGTGACGTCGAAGGTTGTCTAAGAGAATACCAAACCGGTCCGGTGAGGTATCCTCTTGAAGTAATAGGGTGTTATATATTTCGCTGACAACCTGGGCTGAATGTAACAATTTTTAGCAATTCCATCTACATTAATTATCCTTGGAGTAGGCAATATACCGGGATATCCAAGACTCAGCGATCTACCCACGAACTGGGCCAAATAATTCCAACAATCTAAATCTGTTGATTGGACCTTAGAAGCCATTCGGGAAATACACCGGCCAAGCCACGATGCATACATGTTTCCATCCCCAATCCAGTGAATCGAACCAGGCAGCTTGATATCTTTAATAGTAAGAAGACTTTCGGCGGCGACTGATAACACCTTTCCCGCAGCAAGGAGTGAAATAAGCTCTTTCCACATGATTTGCCTCTGGGCTGGCCGCTCAATATTGCTCGAAATATTCACATACAAGTTGAACAGCAAGTCGGGAGGTTTTAAAACTAACGACAAAACGGTTATTAAATCTTGAATAACTATCTTGTTACCCGAGCGCTTTTCACTTGGCAAGGAGTCTTGTTTGGAAAGTAACGAGCGAAGATGAGCTACCAGAGCTCCAATACCCGCCAAACTGCTCAAACATCTTAGCAATGCTGCCTTTGGTTTTGGTTTGTGGTCGCCTTCTGGCGCTGGGGAATCTTCATCTCCTAGACCGCCCCAATGGTCGGGAATGGTAGTTGTGATCACAATGTGCAAAATTTGAGCTGCTTGGGCGGTTGGAGCAGTTATATTGAAACCACCCCCGAGCCCTTGAGCGGGATCAAGAAAGCCTAAGACTTGAACAACACGGCGTTTGTCTGGAGATGACTTAAGGGTGTGTAGGACTTCTTCTAGAGAATTTATTGTACTTGGGTGACTCGAGCACTTCTCTTCTTTTGTGGGAACACTGGTCCGAGGTGGTTTTGAAACAGACAGCTCCTCGCGGTTCTCAACCGCCTTGACAGCAGTAAGAAGTTCATCCATGACCTAAAATTCACATTCCAAAAAATAGTGAATCAAAAAGGGAGATAAGAACTCGTGTACTGTATACGGCGCTAGTTTAATAGCTCTAAGGTTGGAATTCTGGGCTTCCTATTCCGGACTAGCACACTGCACCGTGAAAACTCCCGAGGTCCCTATGCCAGAATACCACGTGACCACCGGATTGTTACAACCTTCCATCTCCGTCAGCCCAAAAATGGGTGTACAGTTGAATGTGGTTAATAAAAAGTTGAACATGGTTAATTTTTCGGGTTGGAATAACCTTCGGCGTGGTTTTGATCATAAACCATGTCAAACCCCCCATTAAAACTACATACACTAGTCATGTCTCATACATATCTCACACATTTTCAAATGCATTGGGCACAGTGATTTTATCTTATTTCTCAAAGTTCTATCTCTTAATTAATATTAATCACTAATTCTAGCTTATAACTGCTTTTCAGATATTGAAGTGTTTCAGATGTTGAAAGTAGAAGGACTAAATGAGAGCTGATTAATAATATAATGAAAATGTGTAAAAGATGTTTAGTGTGTATACATTTTAGTGAGGGAGTGAGAGCTGAGCATGGTTTTATTTTCAGACCCACTTTTTTTAAACCACATCCAACTTTTAATAAACCACATTCAACTGTAACCCGGCGAGCAACGAGCAACGATCAATAGATTGTCCATAGGGTGAGGAAAATAAATACAGCCTCCATCTTAACCGATCAAGCATGAAAACTGATTTCACCTGCACTACAACAATCGTTCCTATAATCTTACATTTGCAAACCAACTACGAGACCCACTGCTTGCGTAGATAATTACTTTCTCAGTAGTTTCTGATACCCATTTATCCATTAGGGTTCTTGTAATTACTTCAGCGGTCTAATATTACGTCCCAATATGTCTGCTTCTAGCATCTCTCCTCGTCGGGAGCCCCAGCGCTGGTAGGTCCTGGAATTCAATTTTTATTGGCCTGGTTCCTTACTAACATCCGTGTAGGAAGACCCTCTACAGAATGCTCACTCGCCCCGGGCCTTTTTGTGATCCGGATTGGGTGCCCGGCCCAGAAACAATCACTGATCTCGAAACTTCTAAAATTCTGTAAGTGGTTAATAATCATCAGACTATAGCATTGCAGAAGGGTGCTAATCATTGTAATAGAGTGATGTAAGTGGACATATCCATATTTACCAGTCCCATGTGCTAACAGCAACTCAGAGGAGCTGGAGGGTTGGGATGTGAAATCCTGAAGAACTTGGCCCTATCTGGATTTAAAGATATTCATGTCATTGATATGGGTTTGTTCCAGCGAGTTCGTGAAGTTTAGTCAAGTGAAATGATAGTAACTCTTTCCCAGATACTATCGATATATCAAATTTGAATCGGCAATTTTTGTTCCGCCAAAGTGATGTTGGAAAGCCTAAAGCTGAAGTGGCAGCTGCTTTCGTGGAGCGAAGGGTGAAAGGCGTCAAGATTACTCCCTACGTTGGCAAAATCCAGGACAAGGATCAAAGTTATTACATGCAATTCAAAATGATTGTCTGTGGGCTTGACAGTGTTGAAGCACGGCGCTGGATAAATTCAATGCTGGTTGGGATGGTGGATGGTGAGAATCTGGAGAGCTTGAAACCGTTGATCGATGGTGGATCAGAAGGTGCGTATTGCTGGAGCCGCCCTAATCTCAAATATCAAGCTGCAATCAATAGCTTGGTTTAAGAGTTAATGTTAAAATGATCATAAAGGCTTCAAGGGACAAGCTCGAGTTATTCTTCCTACACTCTCTTCTTGTATCGAGTGCCAACTCGACATGCATGCACCCCGGGCCGCAGTGCCATTGTGCACCATCGCGACGATTCCTCGACAGCCACAACACTGCATTGAATGGGCGCATCAAATTGCATGGGGCGAACATCGTAAAGATGAAGAATTTGATGGCGACGATATGGAGCACATAACATGGATTTATAACACGGCATTTGAACGAGCGAAGAAATTCAATATCCCTGGCGTGACTTTCTCGATGACTCAGGGTGTCGTAAAAAACATTATCCCCGCAATCGCTTCTACAAACGCTGTGATCGCAGCTGCCTGCACCTCGGAAGCGCTGAAGATTGCGACGTCCTGCAACCCTTACTTAGAGAACTATATGATGTACGCCGGCGAAGAAGGTGTCTACACCTACACGTTCGCCGCCGAACAGAAGAGCGATTGCCCTGTGTGTGGCGATTTGGCGAAGCCTCTTATAGTAGATCCCGAATCGACTTTGGAAGATTTTATACTATCTCTAGGAGAATTACCGGAAGCCCAACTCAAATCTCCCAGTTTGAGATCAGAGGCGAAGATGCTTTATCAGCGTGTTCCCCGACAGTTGGAGGAGCACACAAGACCGAATTTGAAACAGAAATTAAAAGATCTTGTTGCTGATGGTGACGAAGTAGCTGTTAGCGACCCAGCCCTACACGATCGACTTTCGATTTAGAATGACGTTTAAATGATCGGGTCGGAAAAAGCCGACAATGAGATAAATGGGATTTTTTTTTTTTTTTTTTTTAATAAAAAATCTCCAAAAGTATCCACATGAATAATGGCAGTTTACATGAATACATGGTAGTGCGATGAAATTTTCCAGTAGCAGCTATAGTGACATTCAGATCCTATCCTGTAATCAATTGTTGCAACTATCTCAGCACCCATTCTCAGCCTATTGGCTCCATTGAAAACCTTTAACGCCAGAAAATGCTTCACAGAAAACGAACATAAAGGGAAAGTTGTATGTAAGTATCATGAAACCTCTGTCATGTCAGCGAGCTTTGCCAGATCGCGTTTCAATCTTCTGCACTTAAGCTTGAGAACCTTTACGCTCTCTATGAATAAGACGTCACTCCTGAACTGCCCTGTGCTCTCAACATTGAAAATAAAATGATCCCGTATCCGACCTAACTTGACTTTGCCCTGGAATTCATCATGTCTTAGGCATTCCCTGCTCATAGTATCTTTGAAAGGATCAACCACAACGGCTTTCTTCTCGCCTTCGTGACCTTCGTACCCGCTCCCAGCTCGCGACGCCTCCTCCGCTGATACAGAGTCGATTCCAATGACGCCCTTAGGGAAACATCGCGCAAACTTGAGAGCATCGTTGCCAAGGATAGGCCGAATGATCTTTATATCTGGAAGGAGACGGTATGATGCCGTCGCAACGGGGGAAAATTTAGCGTGGTCAGCACCAATGCCCTTGACGCAATGCATTTCAATATCGATCTTTTGGCCGGGTCGCAGTTTCGCCAGAAGAATGTCAGGATTCGCAGAGCGGATGACGCCATCTGGTTCTTGGAAGTATGTCTCTTGCCGACCTACAGGGTGGAATGTAATATCTTTGGCGTACACGTGCGCATGGTTGTAGCGCTTTTGGGGGTCGTCCTCATTTGCGCTGGCTTTGGGGTTATTGGTGCATTCCACGTTTAAATGTAGCACGACGGTGTTGTAATCTGCGAGTTCACTGCCAGAGTCTGGTCTGCCTTCCGTTGGCTGCCTAAACCAGCGCAGCCAATTGATACCCTCTGAAGAGCCGGTTAAAGGGACTAGGCCGAGACGATGCGCTAGCACCTCGTCTTGAATAACGGAGGTGTTGTTGTGTATGTAGACAGTTTCAATAGCAAGGGAGGGAATTTCGGCGATCATAATGCGGCGGAAGGCGTTTGCAATAGCTGCGTCGACGCCAACCAAAGAGAACGAAGCTTCGTACGGTTCATTCTTGTGGAAGGTGACTTTGAGGTTCTATAAAGTAGGGAATATTGACGTGAGTAATACGTAGTTACATGGAGTGAACTCTTTTCCCACTCACTCTTTTGAACTCATCAATGGACCACTCATGATTTTCGCCAGGCCAATGACCGGGGAAATCTGTTGACGAAATATTTGTAACGGTTTCTGCATTGATGCCAATGACCTAGGTAGCGTTAGCTTTGATATATGCGACGAGACACAGAGAAAACGTAAAATAAAATAGTTACCTTCCTCTGGCTAATTTCCTCCAAAGAAGCGATTCTCGGCGCCATGGCTACGCCTATTACTGGGTGTTGTTATACTCAGAATAGCGACCAACGTGTAGTTGAGATATTTTTTTTTTTTTTTGGCCGAATAAATTTCGATGGCGTTGCTCCTGGTACCTCGTTTTTGCTTGTATCCTTGGTACATCTCCTCTTAGCCAATAATTAGTCGAGGAATGCTTACTGAGTCAGCTCACATGACTTATCCAATTGCAAGAAGGACCTCGCTTTGCTGCCGACACAAATACGAACGACAAGAACGGACAGTCAGGCAGACGACAGGCAGTTGTCAACAGCCATTGACCAGTGCTTCATCTTGTGGGAGCTCCCCCACATAATACAAATCGAGGCACAGAGCACTGTGTGCCGATCTCGATATAAACCCACCTCCGTGGCCATGGCCTCCCCCCTCACATACTTTGCCCGGCATGCTTCCAAAAGGCTATGTCTCGGCCCCTCGTCCTCCTCCGCACTCAGAGCCTCCGCAATCGCAGGACTAAGATCAGTATCTACCTCACCCGCTCTCAATGCAACTCCTGCCTATCGACCTACTCGACTCATCCCCACGGATCCGGAATTCGCACCTGGTGGCTCTAAACATCAGCCCAACAAGCCATCTGGTTCATATTCTGAGCCCTCCGTACTTGAATCCGATGCTGGACATGGCCGCAAAATCCGCCATTACACAGTCAACTTCGGGCCTCAGCACCCCGCGGCGCACGGTGTGCTTCGGTTGATTTTAGAACTCAATGGTGAAGAAATTATTCGTGCAGATCCGCATGTTGGGTTGCTGCATCGTGGCACGGAAAAATTGATCGAGTATAAGACATATATGCAAGCACTACCGTACTTTGACCGATTGGACTATGTTTCAATGATGACAAATGAACAATGCTTTTCGTTGGCGGTGGAGAAACTACTCAACGTAGAGATTCCAGATCGAGCGAAATGGATCAGAACGTTGTTCGGGGAGATCACCAGAATCTTGAACCACCTCATGTCGGTATTATCACACGCCATGGATGTTGGGGCATTGACTCCGTTTTTGTGGGGTTTCGAGGAGCGTGAGAAATTGATGGTACGTCTTAATTATTTCTTTGCGGGCAATATTTTGTTGAGTCAATTCTAACCCATTCTACTTTTTCAGGAATTCTATGAACGTGTTTCAGGAGCCCGTCTCCACGCTGCATATGTTCGGCCAGGTGGGGTTCATCAAGATATCCCTCTTGGCCTTCTAGATGATATCTATCAGTGGGCAACCCAATTCAGTGACCGTATCGATGAAACCGAAGAGCTACTCACAGACAATCGGATATGGAAAGCTCGCACCCAGGGCGTTGGTGTGGTCACTGCTGCGGAGGCCCTCAACTACGGTTTTACCGGAGTCATGCTCCGTGGTTCCGGCGTTCCATGGGACATCCGCAAATCCCAACCCTACGATGCCTACGGCGAGGTAGAATTCGACGTCCCCGTTGGTGTCAATGGAGATTGTTATGACAGATACCTTTGCCGCATGGAGGAGTTCCGCCAATCCCTTCGTATCATTCATCAATGCTTGAACAAGATGCCAGCAGGCCCTGTTCGTGTGGAGGATTACAAGATCTCCCCACCACCCAGAGCTGCCATGAAGGAGAACATGGAAGCGCTTATCCATCACTTCCTCCTTTTCACAAAAGGATACGCGGTCCCGCCTGGTGAAACGTACTCCGCCATTGAAGCACCGAAAGGTGAAATGGGTGTTTACGTCGTCAGTGACGGTAGCGAACGGCCCTACCGTTGCAAAATCCGTGCTCCTGGTTTCGCCCATCTGTCTTGTTTCGATCAAATTTCTAGAGGTCACCTGCTAGCTGATGCAGTCGCGATCATTGGTATGTCAATGCTCTGTTACTTTTGCCCCTCAGCATCTCCATAACCCCTGCTGGTTGACACCTGCTGACCCGGACCCCCCCTTTTTCTTTCTCTATTTTTAGGAACCATGGATCTCGTGTTCGGTGAAGTAGATAGATAATCGCCAAATAACGAGCACCATACCATGAAGAAAACTCACTGCAACTCAGGAACGTTTTTAATTTCTGCCTTCTTTTTCCAACTTTAGAAGAAAAGGAGTAGGATCAAGTTGGGAAAAATAAATAAATAATAGATTAACAACTAACAATTTTCTTTATTTTCTTTAAATTCCAGCCCACGACATGGCACCTAATGGTCCGTCAAGACTCCCTTTATGTAAAAAAAATTGTTCCTCCTTCCGCGGACTGACAAGTTCAGCCCAGACACATCAGTTGATGCATTTTGTACATCGATTTCGTTTGTTAAGATCAATTTTCATCTTTGTTGCTCTTATTTCTATTTTTTTTTTCTTTTTCTCTAGTTCTATCTATTACCCTCTTGTGTATTCATCTACAACCTACTATTCCCCGCTACTCCACTACGCCCATTGTCATTCGGCCATCTATCCAGTAAATATTCAGCATCCATACTAAGAATTTTAGCGGTAAAGGCTTTTTTCTTTTGGATTTTTTCTATTCTGGCCCACAGCATGACTTCAACTGGGCAGATAACTAAAAGGAAGCAAGAAGCATAAAGAAAAGTTAAGAGAATGAATGGATGAGATAAGTAGGGCAAAATCCAAAATCACCGCGTTGCTCCCACCATACCTCCATTCGTTTCGTGAGGACATAATATCAATACACACATAACTAAGTTAGCCATCTTATCTAATGCAATCACATATCAATCAGCTAACATCATATCCCATATATATTTATATTTATATATATGTATCGATCGACCTGGTCTCTCCCCTGCCCCTCCCCTCCCTTGGTGTGGACCCACCCCCGAATAACCTAAGGGATAAACAAGATCGTATCAAATAAAAATCAAACCAATTACACGGTCGAATCATCATAAAAGAAGCGAATATCCCTTGGCCGCTGCCGGTTGCGCGCCACAAACTCCGCGTCACCCGGCGGCCGTTCGTTCTTCGTGTTCCCCGCAAGCATGCTCTGGATGCTCATGCAGACGCTCTCGACGGTCTGGACGGGCGACCACGCGGATCCGAGCAGGTCGAGGCATATAATGCCGTTGCTGTAGATGTGTGGGTGGATGGGGATGGGCCGGGAGGTTGATGCCGGGGTTGTGGGTGCTGGTGTGGGTGTGGTCGTGGGTGTTGGTGTTGCTGTTGGTGTGGATGCGGATGTTGATGTGGATGTGGATGTGGATGTGGATGTGGATGTGGATGTGGATGTGGACGGGGGTTGGATAGAGATAAATTGGACTTCGGGGGCTTCTGTTGCGGCGTTCGGGAATAATTAGTTGATGTGTGGATGCATGCTTGGGATGTTAATAGGCAGGGAGTATACCGATGGGATAATTTTTGCTGAAGGTGAATTTCAGTCGGTAGGTCTCATTGAGGTAGAGCGGGTTGGAGTCATCCAGGACGCGGATGTCCATTTGCCATTCTTCGAAGTTTTCTGCTTTCACTATGGAGATTCCCGGGGGTAGGGAAGATTGCATCTGCAAAGGTTATGGGTATATTCATGTCAGGGCCTGTTGAATTCCTTCGTTTCCTTCGTTTTTCTTTTGTATGGGGTTTCATTCTCTCCCCTTGGGGGAACATATATATTATATGTATTGAAATATAAAGGATTAGGTGGGCTTCCGGATCAGAGCCGAGCGAGTGCGCTGAGATGAAATGGTTTACCTTCAAGAGTTCCTGTTTGCAGAATTAGTGGAACGGCAGCATAGCGGGGAGGTGGCACATTGGGAAACTTTTGCGACAGATATCTCTGACCTTGCTCAGCCTTTTGGATGCAAACATGGTGACTGAGAGAGGGGAAACTAAGTGCTGGGCCAAGCCAGCACGGCGGGATCGCGGGGTTCGAAAATCCTGGAGGGGTGGCTGCAGTTTGGTCGCAAACAAACCGTAAAAGGTAGGGCTAGCGGGAGGTCAGCAAATATATAAATGATATATATTTATTTTAAAGTCGAGAAGGACAGCGGAGTAGGTGGAAATCCCTGGTATCATAGAACTTGAGTGCTGGAAAGAATTCAGGCTAAGCAAATTAGCTTCTATTTACAGAATAAAGCAGCCGACACTAGCGCGAGACTTGTCGGATGGAGAACGTTCGCTTTTGACAAACTGGCCTTGCTGGTGCTAATAAAAATTGTTTCATTTTAAGACTTTTAAGACTAGCAGAAAAAAAAGGGCTTTTACACTGTTGCATATCGACGACCTGGGATTTTTAACTTTGCGAAAAAAAAAAAAAAATGATAGATGCAATGAGTGTTGTACAGTATAAGCAAAAGCCGAAGATTTCTCCAGCTAACCCAATCTCAACTTTCATATACTTAATACAGGGGGAATGCAACAAACGGATGGTCATTATTTAGTCCAACAGTCCACACAAGATAAATCCAAGAGGGAGGATATTTCCCCAGAAAACAAAAAGTCCAACCACCATCAGTTAGGCCACCATCCACATACATGTGCAGTACTATCACAGTGACTTTCCCACAGAGGTCCCCAGTCCCGAGCCGGGACCACCAGCCGCGAAGAGGCCTCCGAGATCTTTTCCGAGCCTGTTTTGTATTTTGCTCAGGTTCTCCTCCTCGACGAGCTTTTTACCCGTCAAGCTCTCTGCCACAAACCGACAGCAAATACAGCCAGTTAGCCAGCCACCCATTCAAATAGTTCAATCGATTCGATAATGAGTAGAAGAAGCGGCAATTTTACTTTTCAAGCCATAAGACGCCTTCGTCTCTCCCATCAGAGCAAGGGCAGCCTCTTGCAACCGTTTCTGGTAAGGGTCGAGGGAGCCGGAAACCCAGGCGGCCAGGATAATGATCGCAAGGGCACCATAAACCAAGAGGTTAAGCATTGTGAGATAAACCTCTGTGTCAATTAGCGCTTGATATTTGGTATTAGTACTATGAAGATGATCGAGGAAACAATGCTGAAGAGAGCAAAAATCTCCTTTGAACGATGCATGAGCCGCACCGTGGGGAGATGGCCTTACGACGTCATTGGCAGCTGCCATGCCACATCACGTGTCGTTACGATACAGTACCGAACTGTGGCTGGTGGCGAATCAGAGCTGGCGAGGCCCTCGCATCGGCATTCCGGGCTGTGATTGGCTGTTGCGCTTGTTGATGCCAAAATGGCCCCTCGCCTGCCCCGCCGAGCCGCCGCCCCGCCTTGCCGCTCAACGAGGCTCAGAACATCACAACAAACCAGAGATGTTGTTGCTGGTTATGTAGCAAGGCGGCGCCCTCACTCTTGTTGAGAATATCGCCATCATTTTAGTGTCCAATTTGCTGTCTGCCTTGCCCCGTTTCGGACTGTCAAGCGAAGCACCTCGTGTCTCCGGTCTGGCCACCGATCTTATTTTATCTCCTTTCTGGAAAGCATTACCTGGACACACCCATAAATAGACACTCTTCTCGTTTGGCGGTTTTATTTGCACCGTCAATTTAGTTTCTTTCAGCTTTGTTTCTCTTTCCATCCATTTTTACCCCCTCCTTGGTAACGGAGATACCATCAACCAGAAATCCAATATGAGCTGTAAGTGAACAAATCCTTCCAGCGATCCATTGCACTTGGTTTCCCTCTTCAAAGCTGCCTCCTTGTATTGCTAGCTAGCTGTCTTTTTTGTCTTATTTGGGGGAAGAAACTATATTCTACCGGTTTGGCCGTGAAGATAATATGTTTACATGAACGGTACTATGGTTTTGCTGCTATCAGACTTACACCCTCATACGGTTCTTTACTTCTCCAATTGTTTATCTTCGTTTTCGGAAATCTGACCCCTATCGAATCCATGGTTTGACTAACTTTTTGAACCTTGCTGGACAGCTTGGCTCAACAAGTTGCAAGGTCAACCTGACAGTTACGATAAGAAGTACGATCAAACATTCTAGAAAAGATGCTCCCCTTTTCCGCTAACAATAATTTCAGATCGCAATACCGATTTGGGAGGACATTGGGGGCTGGGACTTATGGCATTGTTCGTGAGGCAGACTGCCCGACGGGGAAAGTCGCTGTGAAGATCATTCTGAAGAAGAATGTGAAGGGCAACGAGCAGATGGTTTATGATGAATTGGATATGCTGCAGCGCTTGCACCACCCCAATATCGTTAGGTTTCGTGATTGGTTCGAGTCTCGAGTGGGTTCACAACAATTATGATTTTTTCCGTTTGCTTGATACCCCTTCGCGATTTGTTGACCCCCATTGCAGGATAAATATTATATCGTTACACAGTTGGCAACGGGAGGTGAACTGTTCGACAGAATTTGCGAATATGGGAAGTTTACGGAAAAGGATGCATCCCAAACCATCAAACAGGTTCTTGATGCGGTGAACTATTTGCACGAACGTAATGTTGTGCATCGAGGTAGAGTTGAATACGGCCATGACCATGTCCCTTTCTTACCCTTGCATTGTTAATAATTTTGGGTAACTAATTTATTTTTGTCTTTGTAATGATGTAGATCTTAAACCCGAGAATCTTCTTTACCTTACCCCTGCCGCTGATTCCCCCTTAGTCCTCGCTGACTTCGGCATCGCGAAAATGCTTGACGACCCGAAAGAGATGCTTACAAGCATGGCAGGTTCCTTTGGCTACGCAGCCCCCGAAGTTATGCTCAAGCAGGGCCACGGCAAGGCCGTCGACATGTGGTCCATGGGGGTCATCACCTACACCTTGCTCTGCGGCTACTCCCCCTTCCGATCTGAAAGCCTACAAGACTTGATAGACGAATGCCTGAGCGGGCGCGTCGTGTTCCACGAGAGATATTGGAAAGAAGTCTCTAAGGACGCAAAGGACTTCATCCTGGCCCTCCTCGAGCCTGATCAGATCAAGCGCAGCACCAGCGAACAAGCCCTCGCCCACCCCTGGCTCAAGGGCGAATCTGCCAGTGACCATAACTTGCTGCCTGAGCTTAAGGCATACATGGCCAAGGCGCGCCTGAAGCGCGGTATTGAGATTGTCAAGCTTGCGAATCGCATCGAGGCTCTGAGGATGCAGCAAGATGACGAGGAAGACATTCCAGAGAGTATGGGTGCGCCTGCTGATTCCGCTGCAGCGGATGCGATAGCGACTACGGCTACGACGTTGACCAATAATACAGGGAGTGGGGGAACAGAACATTCTAACAAGACATCTGGGTCTGCTGGTACTGGTGGAGCTGGTGGAGCGACAGGGACAGTGGCAGGGGGTACACAAGGAGCCCCAACCCATGGGACGAAGAAGAGGAGTCTGAGTAGGATAGCACGCGGACAGATATTCCGGGAAGTGGTACTTGCTAAAGTGCGAGAGATGAAGGAGGCGGAGCAGAAAGAGCAGATTGAGCGGGAGGCGAAGGTGAAGGCGGGGTTTATTTAAATTGGTTTTAATAACTTACATATATATATTTTGAAATGTTAAACAGAAAAAAACAGTGGGGAGACAATGCGCCCTTGAACTGGATTTCATGGCTTCTTTACTTTCTTTGCTTATTTTTAGGTAGTTAGCTTCTTCTTTTCGTCTTTATCTTCTTCTCTGTTATATTTCATCTAAATCAATGATCTGATTTTTATTTCCAGATTGCGGGCCCCCTCCTTTTTTCCTCCCCCTCTTTTTTTTTCAGATATTTTCAAAATTTTAGCCTTCGCTTTTAGTTGCAAATATCTCTCTATTTCCTTTTCCTTCTCTTTTTTTGGTTTTTTTTTAAAAAAAAATTCACTTTTTGTTTTTTTCCTCTTTTCTTCACATCGGCCTCTTTATGCTTATTATATAGTCTCTGGAAATCTTTTTATTATTAATTAACCTTCTTCCCCAACGTTCCCTGTGTTTTACTCCAGGTTTATTAATTTTTTTCCCATAGGGCCCCCCCCCCCCCCCCCCGACCTTTCCTCGTGCTGTAAATTCCTACCACTCCTTAGTTGAGATGGGATAGATGTAATTTCCATCTTGGGACCAAAAAAAAAAATGTTTTAAGCAGAAATGATAGAATTGATTTTGAATATTATTTTTTACAGTATTCAATTGCGTTGAAAATTAGTAGGATTAAAGTGAATTAGAAGGAAGATTGAAAGGTTTTTTGTTAATTTTTTGTTTAAAAAAAAAAAAAAAAAAAAAAAAAAAAAAAAAAAAAAGGGGGATATTAAAAAAGCAAAACTCCGTCCCCCGTATATCCATTTATTAGCATGTAATATATATCATTATACAAACCGGATCTAGGCCACTTGCATCCTTATCCTCATCATCATCATCATCAGCATCATCATCATCCGCTCCCACAGCTGTTTTTCTCTCACCCCCGCACCCTCCCATTCTCATTCCCATAAAGCTCCGCTAATGCCTCATTACACACGCGTTGATAATAGATCGAGCCCTTCCAGCCATGATTCCTTGATCGTAAGCCTACCGTCATCCACCCGTCAGCCTTAAGGCGGGCAATTCGCTGCTGGCGCGTTTCGTCGGTGGATGCGGCCCGCGACGACGACGACGTCGACGACGAGGATGATGAGGATGGCGGTGATGTGCTGTTTCTGGTGGTGGAGGGGAAGTTGCCATTGTGTTTCTGGAGGGGGGTGCGGGTGGGATGCCTGTTTATTGCAGCAGTTGCGGGGCCGCCGCTGACGGAAGCATTGCGGCTGTCGCTGTTATTGTGGTGGTAGTAATCGCAATAGCAGGCGTCGTTGTCGTTGTTGTAATTGCTGAGATCGGAAAATGGGTCATTGGCGATAACATTCTCGTCGTCGTAGGTGGGCGTGAAGCTCCAGAACGAGGCTAAGCGGCTATTCTTCTTCGCATTGTGGATGCGCTGAAGGTCCAGGGTTTTAGATATCAATGTGCTGATGGATTTTACGTTTACGTCAAGTTGGGCGGAGAGTGAGGTTATGAGCGGGATGAGCGGCGAATTTTGCGGCAGGGGCAACATGGCCTGCGCATAGGCTTGCGGTTGATGGATGGTGCCGTTTCTGCCCGTGCGACTTGAGCTAGTTGCCGGTAGAGATGCAGCTGAATATCCAGTTGAGTGTCTGTAAAACTGCGGAGCGAGGGACCGAAACAGAGGCACAATTGCTGCTGTGTTTGGTTCGTGGGTAGTGTTGGCTCTCGGAACACTGAGGAGCGGACGGTGATTGGCCTCAGGTGGTAATTTGGGAAGTGGGCGCGTTGGAGGAGGTAAAGGCGATGGTTCGTATTCTACGAATTGATCTTGGAAATTGCCATTATGGCAGACTTTGTGGATGCGTAGAGGGGACGGCACGAGTTCTTTCTTTTTTGACTGCCCCTGACGTGGCAATGTGCTAGTCGGGCTGGAAGTGGCAGATTGCTGAGCTGGCAACGGGGAGAGAGCTGCATGATGGTTGACAGAGTCTTCAACAAGGATAGGCGTATCGCAACGAAGTTTTGTCGGTGATATTGCAGGATATGTTTTTCGCTTTTCGTTCATCAACACGTGTTCGCGCCACCTGTTGCTGGGTATCCGCCGTGGCTGTTGTGGTCGGTGTTTCTTTTTGTCAACTGGACCTGAGAGAGCTACTGCGAGGGAGGATTTGCAGGCCGTGAAATTATCTCTTGCTAAGTTGAGGAGTGGGAGTTTGTTGCTTGAGTAATTGTGAGCGTTTCTTCCCAATGATTCATAAGAGATAGCACTGTAGTAATGGAGGAATGCTTTATGGATTGCATGGAGCTATGGAAAATAAGCTGTTCAGTACGAAACTCCAGTCTTGTATCAAGAAACGCATTGAGAGAGAAGCTAACCTGGTTATCCGCTTTGCGCAGCAATTTCGTGGATTTGGCAGCGCATTGTTTATATTGCCGTTGCAAGTAGAGTAGTTTGACCTCCTGAAGGGAGAGCTTCCATTCCTCCGACGGATAGGAGAGTTGAAGAGTATGGGTACTATTACTGGGCACAACGGGGGAGCCGTAAATAGATGGAGACATAGTGCAATGCGAATGTAGAATCAGGAGCGATATGACATCAACAGATAAGGAGCCAGTATACATGTAGCATCCCAGCTACGGAGTAAATATCTAAATATCCCAACACGCAGATGGAGAGATGATGTATTCGTCGATTGAATAGGTACGGGAATATGTAAGGAATGTAGCAAATATAATGCGAGAAAGAGGTGGGAGGGAAAATATAAGAAGGGAGAGAAGAAAACAAAAAAGCGCGGCAACCGATAGAGGAAACTAACAGCAAACTCGAAGCTGTTCTTTCATGAATAAAATGACATTTTCTTTGTTGTTCTGCAATTAGATGTTAGTTGGGTAAAGTGAATGCGAACAACGACCTGATACCATGGGAAACAAAACAGATAACTAAGAGAGAAGAGACGCAGAAAAAAAAAGAAAACCTAGCTTACCTACGATGAAATGAATTAATACATCAACAGGACCGCAAGTTGTAGAAACATAATGACAGCAAAAGCAACAAAAGCAACTGGAATGGAGAAGATGAAGCGTAAAAAAAAAAACAGAAGAGAAGCAAAAGGAGATGACTCTGTTTCCATTTTCAACCTCACAAATTGAATTCCCGCAGCTGTGCTTTTTATTCTCGCACCAAGCAGAAGTCTGGTGGATGTATCTTTGTTTTTTTTTTTTTTTTTTTTTTTTTTTTTCCTCAGGACTCAATCAAGGAATTAAAGTATGGCAAGCCAGGTCGAGATCTGGCCCTGGAGGCATGTAAAGAATCATCTACCCATATCCAATGTACAGATCGGATGAAATATGATCGGTAACAATGAGAAAAAAAAAAAAAAAAAAAGGGGGGGGGGGGGTAAAGAGAGCCAAAATTCTTTCGTTCGAAGCCAAACCGAGTTGAATCAAAAGCAGCCCCTCGCCGCCATGAAATGCAAACGAGATCGATCCTGATCCCAGGGAGGCCAAATAATCGGCACAGAATGCAGGTAGCCAGCCCATTCCACGCTCCACGACGGCGCCTGTGGACAGTCGCACACTGACAGCGCTGCCGGGTTAGGAAGTTCATATGCAGGCACCGTCTGCTAGTTAGCCTGGTACGGATGCCAGCATGCAGGAATCCTGTTTCACATACTCAGTCAGTACGCATGAGACAGGAGGGTGACAGACAGGGTCAATGCGAGGATGTGTCTGAGGAAGAAGCTGGTTTCGCGACCCTGGAGAGTGGTTTGAGATGGGAAGCATGGAAAACGATCGGATGCGAATAGACATATATACGGAGTATATATATATATATATATATATATATATATATATATATAAAAATGTAAAATCAACGGCCCCTGACTTTTGAACGCCAAGCGCCCAATTGTCATGTTCATCTATGTCGGCGGCGCGAAGCTAGTAGTTGATAAATAATATAGTTAACCCTCCAAGTCACGTAGTTCATTGGTCTTCACATCTGAAAAACCTGCCATATCAGACTCCTAATCGTGGCTCCATTATTCCGCAATTCTGTTCATTTATTTATTCAATGACCCCGGATGTTGTCTCAAATCCCACCCAACTCCCGTAGTACATGAGCAAAAGCCTAAAACTATCGAGGTAGATACCTCTCCTTTCACCTCTTTTGAGTTGAAATGAACACACCGATAAATAAAATATCTCAGAGCATTGTTCTATATCAGCCATACGAAAATATCTGGGTGGGGAAACAATACGTTTATCCGTTTGAAACGCCGCCATCACAGGCTCCAATAATCCTCCCCCCCCCCTTTTTTTTTTTTTTTTTTTTGTATAAAAACCCCCCAGCAAGATATCCCATCAAATCGTAAAAAAGGTTAAAAAAATAAAAGGAAAATACACAGACATCATTCCATCACCTCAATCATCCAGCTCTGAACTTGGCTCCCGCTCTGCTCGATTGCCTCTAGAACTCTCCCCTCCACTGCTTCCAGCACCACCGCCCTGCCTACCCCTCCCCACCTCCGTCCTCACAAGCGCCTCTCCAGTAACTCCGAGGCCGTGCAGGAAGTCCGCCAGAAGACGATCCAGCTCCTGCACAACAACTTCGTCACTCGCGCCCTCCGTCATGCTCTCCATGCTCGGGGGAACAGGCATTGGGAAATCCAACGGCGCCAACTCCGACTCCACAGCAGATGTTGTTTCCGTTCCACCACCATCCTTCATAACATCGTTATCGTTTTCATTGTCACCATCAGTAGCAGCAACAGCAGCAGCAGAAGAAGCAGCAGTGTTACCATTGCCGTGGGCAGCACCATTAGCATCGGCACCACCTTCCGCCCTCCCATGCCGGCTCCCAGGCCCCGCAACCATGCTGGTCTCCTGGTACGGACCAGGCAGTTCAGTGTAGCTGTATATTGAGCGGTGCGTGCCTTCGTCGAAGTCCGTGTAGACGACTGAGTCCGTGATGGGCGGGAATCTATCCAAGGAAGACGTGGTATAAAAGGAATTGCGGAGCTCGTCATCATAATCAATCGCGTCCTCGCCTGGAGGCGTGACGGGTCTGTCAAATCGGAAGGGGTCGTTATCCGCGTCGGACATCGTTGATTGCGTGGACGTTGCGGTTGAGGGTCGTGAGTCTAAGTAACCGTCACAGGAAGGCTGCTGCGTGAATTCTGGGAGCTGCAGGGGGTGTAATCTCTTTGTCATTTCATCGTCGGGTTCGATACGGCGGGATGACGCGTTCCCATCCGCCCATGTGTCGGGTTCTTCGTGTCGGGGTTCCTCCTCTGCGGTCATGACAGGGAATGTCCATTCACGGGTATCTCGTTTGTCTTCATATGGTTGCTCAACGTCCGGCCCTGGTTCGTCGTGGCTGGCGTTATCCGTCCCAGTTTGCATTGTAGCGGGGAACGTCCATTCCATCGTAGGTGGCCGCGGCCCGTGTTGTGGTTGGAATTCGCCCGAGTCACTGCTTGTAGTTGAAGTCCGCATGAGTCTGCTGCTAGACCGGTTTGCTCGGATTGTATCTGCATCGGCAAGTTGGAATGGAGGATGGCTGGAGGCAGAGCCAGCTGCGTAATGCGCAGAGTCAAATACACCGAGGTTGATGTCGATGAACGTAGATGTAACCGATGATCGGTCAGTATCTGTTCGGAGAGGGAGATCGGAGGAAAACCGCTGTTCTTGCTGAACGGGGACAAAGTCATTTTTAGTTTCATATTTGTAACCTGGTTTTTCTTCGTTAAAAAGCCCCTCCATGGCTGCAGCTCCTCTTTTGACCCGCTCGTCGAAGTTGGCTTTGTCTTCTGCACTTAAATCGGGCCCCTTGCTATCGTCAAAATAATCCCCGGGCTGCTCAGGCAAGGTTGGTATCTTGTCATTCTCGAGATCTGCAAGAGATGCAGAAAGTTGATCCAGGTCTATCAGTGAGAATCTTCGCTCGAAACCATCAGTGGTGCTAAAGTTCCAGTCCTCGCGATCTAAAGGGTCTTGTGTCTCCGGAAACTCAGCGGCAGCAGCACCTCCGGGATTAAATAACGATACCCTTTGACCGCCACGTTGAACCCATTGATAATATATCTTCACTAGTTCACTTAGCGAGGCGGTTGGGTGGGATTCTGTGGAATCCGCAATGTAAGGGTGTTGAAGGATATTTTGCATGGTCGGGCGGATTTTGGGATCAGGGTCAAGTGAAAATGCCACTAATGAGCGCAGATCATCTGAAAACCTATCTCCATCTAGCTTTGGAGGAAACCTGCTCAGTTGGCGTCCAATTTGCATCCGTTCTCTTAGGGTTGCATTTGGTGGATTGCCCGTAGCACACTCAAATAGAGTGCAGCCGTAAGCCCAAACATCAATCTAAGCAAAAGTCAAAGTTAATAAGTTAATATCATCCCAATAACAGCCGAAAACCAACCAGGTAGATTAACTCACCTCGCTTCCGTATTTATGTGTCCCGTTTCCAGGCCTGTTTGGAAACATCTCAGGCGGCATCCAGTGTGGAGTTCCAATCCAGGTTGAACGCTTGTCTACCTTGCTCTGGATGACGCCAGCGACTCCGAAGTCGCAGATTTGTAAACGACCTTCTTCGTGAATCAAGACATTGGCAGCTATGGAATGAAATACTTAGTTTAACAGTCACATGTATAATATGCTTTCAAGGAGATGATGTTTCTACCTTTCACATCACGGTGAATAATGCCAGCATCATGGATGGCCCTGAGACCTTCCGCAAGCTCCCTTGCAATCGGGATTATGAATCGTTCTTCAAGTCTATCTCCGGTCGCTCGCATCTAATATTTTTATCAGTGCTCATCTCCGCAGAAAAGCTCAAATATTCAATGTTGGAAATAAGAAAACAGAAGGGACATAATGGACACAAAGGACATACCAATGTCTTAACACTTCCACCTGGACAATGCTCACAGATAAGCCAAAGTTGGGAATGGATTGAAAAAGCTTCAATAATCATGTTGACATTTTTGGCGCCAGCATCCTTGGCCTGTTGCATGATCTTCGTTTCGCGGATAAAGTCTTTGATAGACTCGTCCCTGAAATCTTGCACAGTTTTATAATCCAGAGAATCTATCTCTAGCACCTTGATGGCTACGGATTTCTGCGATGGAAGCTGGCGACTATATATCAAAACGGCAGAGTCAGCAAAAGTGGAATTGTATTTTTTATTTAAAAAAAAAAAAAAAAAAAAAAAAAAAAAAAAAAAAAAAACTTGGAAGGAAGAAAGAAAAGTAAATAAACTAAAGCAAACGAAAAATAACACAGATTAGGTAGAGTAGTAACCAACCCTTTATACACTCTTCCATAAGCCCCCTTTCCGATAAGTTCCTCAAATTGATACGGAGGCATTTCTGTTTTTGCTCTTCGACACATTTCCATCACAGCAGCTCCTTGTTCTCGTGCTAAGCGCATAGCCTCTGCCTTTTGTTTGGTAAGAGCCACCATGGCTGATGACGGATCAAGATGTCGTGAATCCATGGCTGCACAGTACCTATCATGCTCCGCTGTCTCCTGCTGCAGTTGCTGGATGACCTTGTCAAACCACTCTGCTTCGGCGGCAGAAAATTCACTCGCTTGATTTGGCAGAGGACGGGAAGTAGGTTTGTCGTTGTCGGCGGTTTTGTGCCTTGGGGTGAGAATTCTTTTCAGGGACGCGGCGAGACGTAGGGTTCTGCTAGGCTTTTTCTTGATTGAGATCGACTGAAGGGGTAACTTTGAATATGGGATAGAGTATTGTTCGATGGAATCACTGCTGCCGGCAGTATCGACAGTTTCGACAATTGTGGACACGAGTAGATCCGTCAGGATAATTGAGGGTCGTGGGAAACTTTG